ATGTGATTGCCTCCAAGTTTTTGTTATGCTTGAGAAAATATCTAACCGGGTTACTACAAAAGTGATCTACGAAGTTTTTTATTTTTTTGGACACAAATCTATGGAGTTGATACACACCTTAATTACCATGCATAAAGTATTTCAATTTTTTAAGTACTGATAGCTTACAAAGGAAGGATATGAGTAGACTGTCACATAGAAGGCAATCAAGCAATAATAGAACATCAGCAGGACTAATTTTAGAGTTCTGATGTAAGCCCTTTGCGAACGAATTGCAGATAGAAATTGTAGTATAAAAGGGGAGACTACACGAGTATGCTATCTTAATAGATTGGCTAGTTTTAAGATACAAGTGAAACTCACAAAATCGCAATTACAATACTAACAAGGAAAAAAAACAAAAAAAACAAAGAGACCTAGTGTAGATCTAGAAAGGTCTGACATGATCCCTATCAAGTGTTCAAAAGAGAATGTTTTTCATCTGCATCTATTGCAGATAACATATCCCCTACAGCTGTACTGACAAGCAGTGACATTCCCTGAGGTCGAACCAGGACCACTCCTAGTTCTTTGATGCAGAAGAACAAAAGGCAGCTTTGTATCATCAGAATGACCTTTGTTTTTATCATCAGAAATTATGCAAGGGTGTACACCAGCAAAAGAGGCATCATTTCATAACACTCAGTTTTTACAATACATGCTAATTGAGAATTATCTACATCCTTTGTTTTCTTTTCTATGTATTACATTCTAAAAGACTCATTATTCCTTGATAAGCAACAATACTAATATCACCTGCTTATTTACAGTAAAGTATAATGCTAGATAAATCCTGTATTACACACTGTACTACTACTTGCTCTTAATACTCTCCTATATACTATAATGACTTCCTGTTAAAATTTTAAGCAAAATCCATCTGACATCATTAGAACAGTATGAATTCAGTTAGAGATTCCCTGAGGTGAAAATGATCACCAAAGAAAGCCTCAATATCATCATCTTTTGAAACATTATCGCGCACTTGAACTTCCTCCAGTGTTTCCATCTTGGGAAGTATCAGCATTCTCTTCCTCACCTTGTTTTTCATCTGCATCAGTTGCAGATAATATATCCCCTGCAGCTGTATTGGCCGGTCCCTCGGACTCACCACCAGCAGGAGCAGCAATGACATTCCTTGAGGTCGAACCAGGACCACTCCTAGTACTAAGGATGTCTTCTACAAGATCAATAAGGTGATTCACTTCAGCGATAACTTTGTTAGTTCCAACCACCTCAACAATTGCAAAGTTACGTCTTTCAGGAAAGTAAACCACCACAATTGGTGGGGAGATGAATCTGGATTGTATATACTGGATTAATTCTCCCCTTTTGCTGCATAAGCTAGAGCCACAAGTGAGTGTAACATCCATTCGACTTGCTCTTATTCCGATACATTTTAAGACCTGTGAGGGGTCGGGTGTATCTGTGTCAAATAGACTGTAAGATCCACTACCTGGGAGATGAAGCAACCTACCATAGCATCCATCATTATTAAGCCCTCAGCTACCTGAATTTGTAACTTAGTTCCTCTGATTTCAAAGGGGATTGTGTATTTTAGTTTTTCATTCTGGTTCTGCCTCACTGTTGCTCCACTTACTTGCTCAATATATTTAACTGTTGCACCTTTTTTTCCCACAATCCTGCGCAATTGCGTCAAAGGTACTGTAATCTTTTTCGAAGTCATATTTTGTTGCACTTCAATAATCCGAGCATGCAGCAACTGAAGCAATGAGGGTCGATTGACAGCAGGAATTGAACTTGATCTTGGTTTATTCAAGGAACCATGAGGAGGCTGCTGAGGATTTGAACTTGACTCTAGTTCATTAAAGGAACCACGAGGAGACTACAACTGATGTAATGGGGCTAGATTGACAGCAGGAATTGAACTTGATCTTGGTTGATTCAAGGAACCACGAGGAGGCTGCTGAGGATTTGAACTTGACCCTAGTTCATTAAAGGAACCACGAGGAGACTGCAACTGATGTAATGGGGCTAGATTGACAGCAGGAATTGAACTTGATCTTGGTTGATTCAAGGAACCATGAGGAGGCTGCTGAGGATTTGAACTTGACCCTAGTTCATTAAAGGAACCACGAGGAGACTGCAACTGATGTAATGGGGCTAGATTGACAGCAGGAATTGAACTTGATCTTGGTTGATTCAAGGAACCATGAGGAGGCTGCTGAGGATTTGAACTTGATCCTAGTTGATTCAGGTAACCAAATTAAGGCTGCGACAAAGGGGCACGATTAAAAACAAGATGAAAACAAGGCGCCAACTGAATAGGATTATATTAGGAAAAAAGATATAATAGAATAAATTTGTTAGGCAAAGATATATAGCTATATATTGTTAAGACTTATCTTAGGAAAGTACATATCTCTAACAGATTATCCTCACCAAACCTTTTATATTACTGCATTTCGTATACATAAGTAGTACATGATCAAATCCATTTCAACAAATATCATATCTCTAATAACTTTCGTGAGTGGCATGATAGTGCATTGCATATACCAGTATAAATTAGAGTTGCCCAAATTTCATGTGTGACAAGGTTTCAAATATTTGCATTTCATATAACAACTATGCATGTTCATACATAAATAAGCTTCTTTCTTCATTCATGTTCATTTTCCCAACATATTTGTTTCATTCCTTAATAAGCTATTGTCCAGAATCAAAAAAACAAACCTGCTGCGAAGTCATCAACATTAACTGAGTGTCAGGCCCTTGAATTGGTGCAGGAATTGAACTTAATCTTTGATTCAAGGAACCATGAGGAGGCTGCTGAGGCAATAGGCCTGGATTAAAACAAGGCATTGGACTTGATCCTAGTTGATTCAGGTAACCAAAATGAGGCTGCCGCTGATACATCGACGGGGCACGATTGAAAATAGGATCAAAACGAGCCAACTGAAAACAAGGCGCCAACTGATATGATAAGGCTTGATTAGAAGCTATCACTAACTGCTGTTGTTCTACACCAGTATCTTCATCTGCTCTGCTTCCGCTGCCAACTTCACTAATAACTACAGGATTCAACTGAAATACCCAGAAATCAAACAACCACTTAATACATGAATTTCAAGTAAATCAATTACCACAAACCAACCAAGAAGAAACAACATGTATATATGTCCAAACTCAACACCATTTAATTAAGAAGGTATTATATAAATAACCCAGTAAAACGAAATGCAGTAATCAATCAAATTAAGGAACTATATAACCAAGATTCTTATATAAAGCAGTAAAATTTATATCAAGAAACTGTTCTAAAATATGACAAGTTGATTGAACCAATAAATTAAACACCCATTTAATTCTATCGCATTAATAAGCTGTACAAATTTTATAATCAACCATGAAAATGGAAAATGCAAAAAAATAATATCAAATTCTTACTTGATTCTAAGAAAAACAGCAAAATTCTAAGAATAAGAGTCGAAAATCTTACTTGATCATTGTTGTTATCAAGCAAAGGAAGAAACAGGAATTTCATAATGCATAACCAAGATTCATATATTCAGCAGTAAAACTAATACCCAGAAATTGTTCTACAATATGACAAAATGAATGAACAAATAAATTAAACACCCACTTAATTTTATCTCATAATCCGCCATTAAAAAGCAATAAAGAATGTATAATCAACCCAGAAAATAGAAAATGCAGAAAATAATAGAGAGATAATCAAAGAAACTACTAGCAAAATTGTAATAATAAGAGTAGAAAATGTCAAAATGAATGAACCAAATTATTAAACACCCACTAAATTTTCTCTCATAATTCGCCATTAATAAGCAATAAAGAATGAATAATCAACCCAGAAAATCAAAATTGCAGAAAATAACAGAGAGAAAATCAAAGAAAAACAGCAAGATTGTAATTATAAGAGTAGAAAATGTCAAAAACTTACAGCAGAGTTAGTGGGTTTAGATTGTTGATCATTGTTGTCATCGTCTTCTTCCATCTTTATCTTCTTGCTTGCTATTGAATTTACAGTTCTTCGATGATTTTAGAACACAGAATTTTTATTTTTTCTTTTATAATTTTTGAAGCAGAAAAATTGTAGTGATTTTTATATCCCACTGCCGCGCTTTTTTTAAAAGGGGCTTCCCTACGTAAATCAACTGGCAAATGTGTAAATATGAAGAAACAGTGTTTCGTGACATGGCAACGACATAGCAGCGTAGTTGGCATTACGTTTGGCTAGTCAGATGCTTACGGTATAAGTGGTTGGGAGGCGTTAAGTAACTCCGTATAAAGAATGTGAATTTGAAAATCATAATTTAGTTTCTGGTTGGGAAAGAAAATTAAAGTCGTTTAGCTGCGTAGTTGCGTATTTTGAAAGGGTTTAATTTGTATAATTTTATTTGTAATCAACAAGGGGGAGAATGTTCAAATGACCATGAGGAGGCGCAGGATCGGCCGTGCAGCTCAATAGCAACATAGTTTACTGCGCAAAGTAAGGTAAAGTAAGATATATGATAATTCTGTGTGAATTGTAAGTGTTGCAGTATGCAATTAGTGAACTAAGTTACTTTAATTTTATCTTGGTGATTGAGTTCAATTGCAATTTATTGTACTTCTTATTTTGAATTGGGTAATTGATAGCTCTTTAAAGGCTTTTCGTTCTAATAGTGTAGATTGATAACGACTCTGTATTTGAAAGAGTGTATTGAAATAGTTTAATTAAGATAGATGATAGTTGTGTAGGGAATTAGTATGTGGATATGAATGTGGTGAATCGAAAAAACTAATAGCGGGGATTATTAGATAGGCATTTGGCATTTTGTGCTAAAGAGTATATTAATTAGTGAATGTCGTAATAAAATTGTATTGTATTGTAGTGTAAATTTGTATTATGGAGCTGTGCATTTGGGAGATACTAATTACGTAATTGAATATCGTTGTAATTAATGGTGTTATTTGTGAAATTACAGCAAGCTTGAATGGATACAAATAATGATTCGAGTATGGTTAAATGCGGTTGCGAGAGTGGTTTGGGTGATATTGGTAGTAGGGTCAGGTTTATTGGTAATAGCTTCCACGAAGCGGCGGGTTTGGAAGAAATTGTTTGTGATGAGGGAAGGTCTGATCATTTCGTCCTAGATGACAGGCAAAGTAACCCGGATGAAAGAGGAGTGACTCCTACTGGGTCACAAGACCAGTGCCATTTAAACACAATGGAGATTTTTGGAACAGTAGAGAATAGTTATCAGTTAAGTGTTGTTAGTGATGTTGATGAACCTAAGGTGGGAATGCTATTTCAGAATTGGCTTGATATGGAAGCGTTTTACAAAGAGTATGCTGAACGAAAAGGATTTGGAGTAAGTAGAGTCCAAGTCGTGTTTTCCAAGGGTGTCATACGCATTAGAACTGCGATGACTTGGAGGTGTGAGTGTTGGGGTACACCTAACATGCGGGCAGTAAGGGAAGCAAAAAAAAGGGCGAAGGCTATGGGTGTAAGTGGGTGTGGTGGCGTAGTAAGTGGAAAGGTATGTGATGTTGAGTTAAATCGTAGAAAGAGGAAGTCTAAGAAATGTGAATGTGGTGCGATGCTGTATGGAAGCGTTAATCAAGAGAAGGAGTGGGTGGTGAGGAAAGTAGTACTAAAATATCACAACCACAACCCCATTCCTAGTCAATCTCAGCTGGTGAAGGAGTATCGGATGAAGCAATTGACACCAAGGGTTAGGAGGAATATATTGAAATATTATGATGAGGGTGTTCCTATGAAACAGATTCATGCGTGCATGGACTTGGGTTGTAACGGGTCCGGTAACAGTACATTAACTGTAAAAGACCTAAACCATGAGGTGTACAAAGAAAGGGGGTTGAAGATGGTTGGGGGAGATGCAGCTGCTATGCTTGGTTATTTTGAGAAAATGCAGGCCACAACCACCAACTTCTATCATGTTCAACGTGTAGATGACCATGGGCGTTTCAAAGACGTTTTCTGGGTTGATGGTCGGAGTCGGGCTGCATATGCAGAGTTTGGAGATGTTGTATGCTTTGATGCAACGTATTTAACAAATGAATACGATCTACCGTTTCTTAATTTTGTTGGTGTTAACCACCAAGGGCAATCATTATTATTGGGATGCGCATTGATATTATGCGAAGATTGTGATAATTTCTTGTGGATATTTAGACAGTGGCTTAGCAGTATGGAAAATTGATTACCACGTGCCATACTAACTGATCAAGCCGCTGCCATGCGTAAGCCTCTTGAGGAGGCTATGCCCAATACACGGGATCGATGGTGCATTTGGCACATAGTGAGGAAGATTCCAGAAAAGCTTGGAAAATGTAAAAGGTGAACACGTATATCCAATTTAGTATAATTAACAATTTGCAGGTGTTTAAGTTGTTGCATTATGACCTTAATCTGTTAATAATATCACTGGTACACTATGTGATGTTTATTTATCATAGGTACAATGAGTTCAAAAGCCTTTTGAAGAGAATTGTGTACGAGAGTTTTACTATGGATGAGTTTGAGCGTCGTTGGTGCTCCTTTATTGCCGAGTACAATCTCCAGAACAATGATTGGTTGACTTCCCTGTACGATGAGCGTCATATGTGGATTCCTGCCTTCATGAAAGAATATTTTTGGGCTGGAATGAAGACCACACAGAGAGTGGAAAGCATAAATAGCTTCTTTGATGGGTTTGTTAATAGGAATACCAAGCTTTATGAATTTCCTCTAAAATATACAAGAGCTCTGAAAAAACGTGTAAGTGACGAAGCTGATGCAGATGCAAATTGCAATAAATATGTGCGTAGATTGATTAGTGGATTTGCTGTAGAAAAATTATTTCAAAAGGTATACATCGACGCCAAGTTTCAAGAGGTGCAAAAAGAATGTGCTAGGATGATGTATTGTTTTTGTCGGGAGGAAAAGGTAATTAGTGAGACTTTTATTCAATACCTTGTGGAGGATCGGGTATGGATTGTGCATGAGGGAATGAGCGAGGAAAAGCTTACAAAGCGCAGCCGAGTTTTATGTGCAACGTACAACACTATTTCGAAGGAAGTGGTGTGTGATTGTAAGAAGTTCGTCACTCATGGTATTATGTGCAATCACATGATTAGAATACTTGAACAAAATCACGTACAAGAAATCCCGGAAACATATATCGTTAGTAGGTGGCGCAAGGACATCACAAGGAAGTTACTCGTGTTAAGGTAGAATATCATGATCCCTCGTAGAGCGTTGAGTGGAAGAGGTATAATCTTCTTATGACGGCATTTGAAGGCCTGTGCGATGAGGCAATAAATTTAAGCGACGAAATCGTAGACTTAGTACTACAATCTGTTAATCAGATGAAGGCTCAACTGGAACGGGGCAAGAAAAAGAAGGATGGTGAAGGAATGTGTGCCAAAGAATTATTAGTGCGGAAAATAACCTGTGATTTACAAGAAAACGACCCCCAAACTGATGCTACGGTTATTCTGGACCCAACTTGGAAAAAGAAACCACGTGGCCGGCCGAAAGGCAGTAGGAACAAAATACTTTTTGAATTGGGCTTTAAAAAACCACAAAAACGGAAGGCAAAGGTAATACTTGCTTCCCTAGCTATGGTGTTAAGTTATTATTTTCACAGTGTTTAATTAATGATTTGTTCGTCTTGCAATGTTATGTTTAAAGGCCGCCACTGATGGGGACAATCAACAAACATCTGATTATAATGCAAAAGGGCCTCAACAAGATGGCACTATACGATTAGAGACAAAGGGGAACAACAAACCACGCGGCTGGCCAAAAGGGAGTAGGAACAAAAGACTTTATGAAATGGGGTTTAATAAACCAAAAAAAAAGAAGGTAAAGGAAATAATATAAGTTATTTTAAATGTATCGTTTTTCCACTACGTAGCAATGGCAACATACTGATATGTTTGTTTTGCAACGGTAATGTGATAGGCTGCTAAAGATGTCTCTACACGAGTTGACCCTAATATAAACAAGAAATCACGTGAACGGGATACATTGGGTAAAGACAAAACACTGTATGAAATGGGGTTTAAAAAACCTCTAAAACTTAAGGAAAAGGTAAGCACCGCTGACCTATTTTTGGTGTTGGTAATGTATGTAAACTATGTATACGGACTGATTAGTTTGACTGGAATCGATAATTTTATAGGCATATATGGATGGCGTGACTGAGCAGATATCCGATGTCGTTGTTAATGGTCATCAACAAGATGGCACTATACGATTGGACCGAATTCTGAACATGAAACCACGTGGCTGCCCCAAAAATAGTAAAAATAAAACACTTTACGACTATGTGTATGAAAAACATACTCAACGTAAGGTGCAGGTAAATAATGATGACCCATCTTTGCTGTTGTTTTACCAGTGTTGTGGTTTGTGTAGTGTTAACATACTGATGTAGTAGTCGTTGAACGTTAATGTTATAGGCCACTCAAGAAGGGGTCAAAGCGCATAGTTCGGTTGTCATAGCAAATGGTCTGGAAAAAGATGATTCTATACGATTGGACCCAAATCATAAAAGGCAACAATGTGGCCGGCCCAAAAAGAGTTCAAATAAAACACTTTATGATATGGGTTTCAAAAATCGTAAAATTCGGAAGGGAAAGGTAACAAATGATGACCCTTCTGTGATATAATTAATCCCCAACTTCCATGGGTATAATTTTTTTTTATTTTTTTTGTTCAATGTGATTGTTACAGGCGGCTACCTATGGGATGATGGATTGTAGCTCCAATTTCATTGGTAATGGACACGAAGATGGTGCTATAGGAAAGAACCCTTTAAAGAGAAAGAACGCACCTAGCCTTTGTGGTAGTAGTCGTACCAAAACACTTGCCGAACTCTTGGTTTAATAACCTCAACATCTAAAGGGAAAGATGTGTAGGGAATTATAGGTACTACGCAGCGGAAATAAACATGAATCATATTCATACAGTACCTAATCCCAAGATCTAATGCATAACACATAAAGAACATATAATCGTACCTTTGAAGCGTGATTCCACGTGCGATCGAGCAGGAACAATGGGAGATAAAGAACCTCAAGCGTGATTCCTCTACTTGGTCCACAGGCACAGATTAAGTCCTCCACTAATGCTAGTTAGTTGCATTGAACCCTTCAATTGACCTTCTATGGAGAAGTGCGAGCAACGAACCACCATGAACCACCACTTCACCAACAAACGCGCCACCAAGGTGGCTAGCCGTACGGACGAGGGGAGGAGAGAGAAAGTCGTGAGTTAGAGAGAGGAATTAGGGTCTTTGGGATTGGTTGCTTTGATGTCAAAATACACTGTGTGTGAATTATGACTTCTTACATGCAACATTAGGCATGGATCTTATTTATAGATCTCATCTCTAAATAAGAGCCCATGTCAAAAGCCCAAAACTTAATTCCAATCTAACTATGCTAGCCCAATCCATTTCATGATTAGTTAATTTCTCATGAGGCCATAAATGGGCCTCTAACTTGCTTAACCCAATACCTTTGTTGTGTGACCTCATAGGATCCATTCTAGTGGGCTTTGGACTATTTGACTAGCCCAAAGATCAATGATCGTAGTCTAGCAACAGATAATGACGACCTAAAAGAACGAACTTATTATCTCCATAATAGTGATCCTTGATATATCTAGTAATTGCACTTATCAAAGACAGAACTCCTTCAAGATGTATACCTTACCCTTGTTTAGCATGGCTAGGTGTTAGCATGATAGTCCATGAACTACCAAACAGTCCTGAGAATGTGGACTCTTCATATTTTATTACTCACTATAATTCCCTCGTTTGGCATGACTATCTTAATTATAAACTTATTAGTACGTGTTTTGGTTTATACTAAATTTGTGTTACGTATATGATCAAACATCAATACACACATCCTACCAACACCCATGACATATTACGAATCACATAACATCGGTATCGTCTGGCCCAGAAATTTGGTCTGCGACTGTACAATCCATATCACATTTTGCCTTGCCCATCTTCTGAAATCAAAACTTTATATAATGTGGCCCAAGTATGGATAACATCGTTAAGTACATTTGGGTAGGGAACACTTGATATTTGGTACGGTGCTCCTACAGGTGAAGGGTTCGACGACTCTTACCAGACCCCCCCCCCCACCATTTTTTATTCCTTCAATTTCAGTAGAATATGATCCAAAAATGCTAAGTTTCGACACCTACTACACCTCCCAACACCAATCAATTTTTTTTCTATTTTATCCAGTTTTATTACAAATTTAGCACGAATGGGCAAGTGTTAGAGTCGTAGTACCCCTTATTCCATTGGTAATTATTTTTTGGATATTTTTACATTATAAACCTGTAGCTTATCGTTTTTTAAGATGTGCCCCCCCTTTATGAGAAATTCACATTGAAACCCCAAAATACATTTAGTGTATACAGGGTAATGTAGTCGTTATCTTGCCATTAAGAAATTCCGTTAGTGTGGCCCAATCACCACTTAATAATAATTTTTTTATCGATTTGAATAATGAAAATCGTTCCGTTAAAGGTTTTGGGGGCTATTTTGGTTCCTAAGGGTTAAAATTGAGTTAGATTTAGCAAAAAAAAAAAAAAAAAAATACCCCGTTTTGCGTATTAAAAAATGTCTTGATTTGTGTGTTTACGTATTTAATATGCAAAACGAGATATTTTGTAATATTTTTTTTAAAATGTGAGCTCAATTTGGACCCCTAAGGACCAAAACAGCCCATAAAACCTTAATTAGAACAATTTGTAACACGCAAATTGATTAGAAATAATTTTGAAGTGGAGAGTGGGTCACACTATCGGAATTTATTAACGGCGAAATATAGGAAAGGTTACCGTATAGAAAGTAAATGTAATTGGGGTCACAATGAAAATTACTGAAAAATGGGTGGCACATCCTACAAAACGCAAAGTAAGAGGGTTATAATGTAGAAAAACCCTAATTAATAATCGAATTTATTAATTAATTAATAAAAAATGAACAGTAATCTAAGTAGGTAATTACTATAATTCGTAGTGAAAATTTATGGTAGTTGGTTTGGGTGTGGGTGTTCTCCAACCAATTGCCAACCTCTAAAGCACTCCCCATAAATGCACTCTACACAGCAAGAAGTATTGTGGCCTTTAAAATGGTGTCCTCATGCTGCTCATTCAACTGTATCCCAAGGTTGTGTCCAAAGG